CAACTCTTGGTTTCAGCTCAAGTCATGATCTTATGGTTTGTGAGATTGAGCCCTGCATTGATGCAGCTTGGAGCCTGCTTGGGATTCTGTCTCCCTATCTCTCTGCCCCTCCCCTGCTTTTGCTCTCTTTCTCAAAATAAATACTCATTAAAAAAAAAAGTCATCAGCACTTTGGTATTGTCCAACAAGCATGATTAAAGACAAACTAATGGGGAGGCAGGTCAAAGGGATGGACAAAAAGTGTGTCCACTGGAGCCGCCGTGGTGCAGGGGGGCAAGTGGGAGGGGCAGGGCTATCACTGGCGCCCATCAGCTGCTAAAGAATGGTTGCTTAGCATGGTCTACCCCTTTGTTCTTGCCCCCACCCCCACCCCCCACCCTGCAGCCTCCAGGATCTGGACACGGGGCAGATAGGAAGACTCCTGAAATGGGATCAAGAACGCTCAAACCTGAGGCGCCTGGGTGGCTCAGTTGAGTGTCCAATTTCGGCTCAGGTCATGATCTCGCAGTTCATGAATTTGAGCCCTACCTCAGGCTCTGTGCTGACAGCTCAGAGCCTGGAGCCTGCTTCCGATTCTGTGTCTCCCTGCCTCTCCGCCCCTTCCCCGCTCATGCTCTGTCTCTTTCAAAAATAAACATTAAAAGAAAACACATTCAAACCTGGCTCCAGCTCTGCCCCCCTCCCTGTGGGATGTAAGTCACCCCCATTTCAGGACCATTTTGCCTCTCTGTGAAGTAAGAGCATTGCATCAGACTGGACACCAACTATCCCCTCAGATAGTCGCTTTTCCTTGCAGACTTTGATGCTGTGACACTCTGAAATCCAGACAAGTTTTCTGCACCTGCTTTAAGCCCTGGGTGGGTATGGAGGAGAGGCAGGATCAGTTCATTAGAGCAGCGTCAACCATTTCTTTTGTGGCTTCAGACCATGGATGCACACAGCCCAGGTTAGTTCAGAGATCATTCCTGAACTAGGTGCTGTGCTAGGTGCTAGGGGTGCACAGGTGTGCTAAGACACAGGGTGCTTGTTCCCAGCTCCTCCCCCAAGAACCTAGCTCAAGAAGTTGAGTCGTCTTAGCTGACCACTTCAAAATAACACCAGAAATGACAGGCTGGCGGCATGTGGGTACCCAGGGAGCTGTGGGGGCTTATCCTGGATGGGGGGCAGGCGGGTTTGCCACAGGGGGTGGCACCACGGCTGTTTCTGAGCACTGGTCAGCTGCGTGAATACAGGATTAAGGAAGGCATTTCCATTAGGGGGCGCTGGAGCTGGCCAGCAGGGGCCGGGCGTGGAGGGGACCACAGGTCCTCGACAGAGCTTCCCTGGAGAGACAGACTGTGGTGAGGGTGAAGAAGGGGCACGGGGCGGGGGCCTTCATCCCAGTGTAGGCTGAGCCCGAGGGGGGAATGCGTGTGTGTTGCATTTCAGATGAAGCATTCCGGCTGCTATGCGCAGGCAGTGTGGTGAGTGGGGAAGGTGAGGGGTGGGCAGGCGTATGGTTAGAAGGCTAGTGTACCTTCTTCCAAGCTCCTGGCACCCCGTAGCGCCTCCTCCCCATTATAGATACCACCGTGGCACGTTCCTCTCCCCACCCAGGCAGCACAGGGGCATTGAACATAGTAGAGTTGAATTGTTTGGAAAAGAACCATCAGCTTTCACAGGGCCTGGAGAGGTTGACCTGCTGTAGGCAATTTCTGTGCCCCCACCACAGGCTATGTACCTAATCAGTAAAAGATTCCAGGTGTGGTAGGAAAGCTTTTGAAGTGAGGTGGCTTCCTTCCTGGGGTGACCCCCGGTTCTCGGTGCAGGTGGCTAGCAGGGTGCAAAGGGGCTCTTGGGTTAGGTTTGTACTTGCCATCCGGAAGTTGGGAGAGCTGCTCGGAGGAGACTTGTGGAGCCCACGAGCCCTGAGGGCTTCCCTAGCTCCCTCCAAAAGCTCCCGTGGCCTCTCATCCCAGCCAGAACTCACTCACTGTTCCTATTCCTTCCACTGTAAGGGATCCCCAAGGTCCTGGTTTCATAAATTTGAGTCAGGGTATTCACTGACTAATCCCAGAATAATCTGGCCAACCTGATAATCAGGAAAGATCAGCATCCCCTTTGCCTGTCTGGGCTACAACTGTCGTTCTTGGAACTAAATTCCTGCTCCCACCTCTGGAGCCTGCCTGGGGCTGGGCAGACCCCTCTCTACGTGTGGATGCCCCTGGGCACCTACCTTGGCTCTGTCCGGCCGGGTGGCAGCTCCGTGGGTCTCCAGGTGCTTCTTGGGTTGATGAACACGCACAGAGAGGGGAGCTGGGCTCCAGGGCTCACCCTCATCAGTGCCCTGATCGCGTCCCTTTTATAAAGCCTGGGGTGACGTCTCGTCTCCAGGCATAGGCCCACCTCTGCCTCCTCCCCGCCCTCAGACCCCTCAGAGAGCACAGCGTTTGCTGTCTCCCACTGCCTGGCTCTCAGCACTGAAAGCAGCCTCTTTGTCCCCCTCCAGAAGCCCTCCAAGGCTGGCTTTCTGATTCCCACTCTTCCTTCCATCCTCCTCACCCCCTACACCCCAGACCCACTCAGCTGGAGACCCATTATGCCCCAAATGACATGGAAATGGGCTATGTGAGGGGGAGGGGGGGACCCTGCCCTCTAGACAGGAAGTACAAGCACACCCAGTGTGAAGGAGCAGGAGAAAGGGGGTGGAAGAGAGAAAATCTAGAAGGTGAGCATACCTGGGAAGTGCCAAGGGAATCCAGACGGGTGATTTGCAAGTACAGCATCTGAAGATGCTGCTCGTGGGCTCCCCTCCACACCTCGCCATCCCATGGCTTTGTAATCGCGGTGTTTGGAGGCAGCGACAGGGCTCCCCTTTGCACCCTGAGCATCTACTCCAGTGCTCGGTGTAGACACAGGGGGCCCTCATGGATATTTACTAGATGTATGCATTTACATCTATGTAGATGCATTTACATCTACATCTATGTATGCAAATGCATCTATGTATTTACTAGATGTATGCATTGCAAGGGACTCTGGTCTCCATCCTGGGCCTGCAAGAATGCTCTTTACCCTTGGCCGAGGGGCTCCCCAGGACAGAGAACATCCCTTCTATCAGGCTTGGGCTCTCTGAAGGCAGGGGCTATGTCTCCGCCCTCAGACGAGAAGCTCTCTGAGCCCAGGTGCTACCTGGAGGGTGTGCCATGCAGGCAGCCGCCTAATTAATGGTTGAGTAGCATTTCCCACCAGCACGCAGGCTGATACCCATCACTGGTCTAATGCCTACTGCTAACAGGGGTTTACAGACATATTATCTCACTCATTAGGGCCATTAACCACAAGGATAAAAATGATAGGCTACGAGAGCAGGCCTGCCCCTCGCTCAGTGGAATGCTGTTTGTGTCGGCCTGCCCTGAGTCAGGGACTGGACTTGACAGGCTAGAGACAGTGACTCTGAGTCTCAGACACACTCACAGACTGGGGATTTAATCTTCGCTCTCCTCCCATAAATACAGGGCAGGATGTAATACCAGCCCCAGTCTGATCGTGGTGGGGCCCCGGATCTCTGTCCGCAGCCATGTCAACAGCCTTTTGAGTTGACTTGGAATCTGAGGTCAGTCATTCAACTCTGTTCTTCCTTCTGGACTTGGAGAGGGCTGGGGATGATGGGGAGATGAGTCACGGCAGGGTGGAGGCAGCCCCCACTTCCTTTCCAGCCCCCTCAACCAATGATCCAAGTTCAAGGAGCTCGTCTCTGCTGTTCAGACCATTGAGCTGGTGCCTTGAAGCCTCCGGAACAGCTGTGGGAGCCAAGAATCATTACTTCAGACAAAGAGTGAGCAGCACACTCCATATCTAGGTTATTGTGGAGCGGGCCTTGAGAGCTGGGCCTTGAGTACAGATCGGGAGAGGGGGCCGCGGGGATGATCCAGCTGGCTGTAGGGCCTCCCTAAGCTTCTCAGCTCCTATTCTGTCAGAAAATATGCTTTAGAGAAAGGGAGGGGCAGGGGCTGGGGACCGCTGCCCCCTGCGTGCCTCCAGGAGAGGACAGGATCGGCCACCAGCTTCTGTTGTCACTGGCTGTCACACACGCTCTCCATGCCTGGGGCCCAGACTCAGCCAGCTCCCCAGAAATCTCTGGCACTTTCTGGCTGGGTCACCTAGACTCTCTGAATCTGTTTCTTTGGCTCTAATAAGGAGCTACGAATAGCCACTTGCCTCAATACCTACGCCTTAGGCACAATGCTCCCGGGTGCCCTCTCCTCATCTGCTCTTGTCAAACGGAGAAGGTGTGGGGATGGGGAGAGGAGTTGAGGGGAAAGGGGCTTGAGGGGAGACGGGAAGGCTCCATTGCACTGGGGCAGCAGTCTCACCAGGGCCCCTCGCCCCAAGGCATCATCACCAAGCCACATGCATAATCTACTTACCGCACTCAGGAAGGGGATGTCAGAGGCATTGCCCAGGAAGCCAAAGACGACAGGAAAAAAGCCCCTAGGAGCAGAGGTGGGGGGAGGGGTCAGCGATGGCCTGGGGCGAGATCCACCCAAAGGCTCCAGCTTTGGTTCCCCAGAAAGCGGGCCCTTGGGCACTGGGGGCAGGCTTGGTTCTGCACCCCCTGGGTTTGGGGAGGCAACCATGTGAAGTGGTTAAGAATAAAGGGGCAGGGATCAGGCTCCTTGGGTTCAAATCTGGGCTCTGCCACTTGCTCGTGCTGTATAAACTTGGGGCAAAATTCCTCAACTTCTCTGAATCTCAGTTCCCAGTTGTAAATGAGGTTAATAATAGTATCTACACCATAGGGCCTTCTGCAAAGAAATGTTCAAGAAGTGTTTGTTTGGGGGCACCTGGGCGGCTCGGTTGTTTAAGCATCCGGTGTGGGTCGCGATCTCACGGTCGGTGAGTTTGAGCCCCGTGTTGGGCTCTGCGCTGAGAAAGCGCGAAGCCTGCTTGGGATTCTCTCCCTCCCATTAAAAAATTTTTTTAAGAAAAGAAGCGTTTGTATCATTGTTACTGTCTTCTCCTCCCTGGACTGGGTGGGTGCTGCCTGCTTCAGATTTCCTGGGCCCCCGCATGGGTAGCTGCTGGCGGCCGTGCTCATGGGTGTTTTCCCTGGTGCCTCGGCGTGGTGCCCATGCGTGGAGCCACCCTTTGCCCTTGGCTTCCCCACTCTTGTCAAACACACCGTGGCAAGGTCTGGCCGGGCACATGTGCACCATCGTTCAAAGGGCTTGGAAACACTGAGGTTGGCGTCGGGGGGAGCCCTGTGTGTGTGGAGAGGCGAGGGGGTTAGACATTTGAATGCTGGCTGAGCTATTTCCTCTCCCGGGGCCTCATTTCCCCGAGGCTCACCGACATCTCTGACGTCCCTTAGAGCTCTGATTTTGGTTTTCTCGCCCCTCCCCCCCAATGCTGTTGCAAGGGGTCTTTGTCAAGGTTTACGTTTGGTTGGAGCTACTGAATCTGCAGTGGCCCCACTCACCCTTCTAATCCCTCAATAAATGGTCACTGTCGTCAGAATTTTTCTTCTCGACTAGGTTGCGAGGTCCTCGGGCAGTTTCTCCCTGTTGAGTGCCACATCCCCCCACCTAGCTCTGTATTTGGCACGCAGTAGCTACTTTTTGTGTTTTTGACTATTTGAATAAGTGGCTGTTTGAATCGTGACATGTCTGGATGTTAAACAAGTGGGTGGCAGAGTGCGTGTGAGAAAATTTAGTTTCTCGAAGCTACATTATATGATGTCTAGGAGGTCTGGGCCATTCAGGCTAATCAAAGTGTTTTCAAGGCTGCACTGGGCAAACGGAGGGCTTTATGAGAAGTCGGGGTCCTGGCCCCGGCTCCTTCCGGTGAGTGCATAAGCCATGCTTCTTCCAGCCCGTCTTCTCCATCCCACCACTGTCCTCCAGTGTCCCAGAGACAATAGGCATCCTCCCTCTCTAGCCCCACCTTTCCGACATCCTTCGTTTCTGCTCCTTAAGCACCCCCCAGTCTCCTCTTAAAGCTTGCCTGTCCCCACGGCCTGTCTCAGGACAGGCCCTCCCTGCCCTGGACACCTCCCTGGCCTTGGCAGTGGCCACACATCTTCGCTGACTTCCACCCCACCTTTCAGCAGGCCAGGCTGACACTGGACAGGCCGAAGGACATGAGGCCAGCAGCCAGGGATGCCTGGATCAAGTCCAGATCCTCTGCATACTTTGTGTGAGACCTCCGGCGGGTGGGGGGAGGGGGGGCAGCCTCTCAGATCTGGTTTCCTCATCTGCAGAGAGCAATCCTGCAGTGGGTTGTAAAGACGATAAAGTGAGGTGACGACTGTGAACGTGCTAGGGGCATATGAGGGGCCAGGCAAATGCTAGTTCACTGCCCCTCCTCCCTGCTGGATTCTTCAAGTTGAAGGCAGGCCCTGTGTCTCCTCCTTAAGGGCAGGCCTAGGGCCGGGCACACAGCAGGTGCTCAATGTTTGCAGGTGGATGGGCCAATCCCTCCAATTTGTCCTTCGTCCTACTGTTGGAGGGAACTTCCAAGTGTCTGCCTGATGCCCATCTGCCTTTTCAGTCCTTCCGTGGCTCCCATCCGTGGGATAGCATCCCTGTGTCTGCATACCCTGTCGGTCGTGCTGGCCAAACCTGGCGGGGTGATCTCAGCTGCTCAGAGGCCCTGGTGGGCTCATCCAGGGGAAAGAGACCCGCACTCACTTGAAGAGGCTAAGGAATCCATAGGTTTCCAGGAACATGCCCAGAAGGGGCCAGCGCAGGAGCACAATGACCACACCCCCTAGGAAGAAGCTGGTCCCTTTGAGCTTGTGCCTCTGGAAGAAGAAGGAAAAGGTCTTCCTCAGGCCGATGATGAGCAAGAGGCCAGTCAGGAATAGCAGCTGTGGGGGAGGGAGGGAGAGAAGCATGAGAACCAACACACCAACACCCCCCGCCCTCCACCAACGGGGAGTCAGGGGCCAGGCCTGGGGCAGGACTTGCTGCCTCTTCAGGAAGAGTTCTGTTAGGAGCAGAACCGCCCCGAGACAGGAGGATGGACAAGGAGGACTTTGAAGGTCTCCATCTGTTCACGCAATTCAACCCAACTTCTTGGCTCCCAATCACTTTTTCATATATGACTTTATTTCTTGTCACACCAACACTTCCCGGGGAAGACGGCATAGACAGAGTCTCTCCATTTTACGGAGGTGAACACTGAGGCAGCCATACCTAGCCATAGCCAGCCATCAGGGCTCCACTGTCTGGCCCCGTCACTATCTTCAGCTTGGCTCCTAATGGTCCCTTAGGAGTGCCCAGGTGTCCATCAGATTTAACTCTCTGGCTTTCTTCCAGCATATTCCATGCCTTTCCTCCCCTTCCTCATACCTTTTCTCTTGCTGTTCCTTCTGCCTCCACACCCATTGCCTTTCCAAATTCCTTTTCGTCCCTCTCCAGCTGGATATGCTTTCTTCCTCCAGACATCTTGTTCTAGATTAAGTGTACTTATCTTATTGCGACTTTATGGCTGCCCCTGCCTTCCTTCCCAGTCACGGACGTTCACGTTATGTCCCTATCCCTAGACAGGGGCGTTCCACTGGCAGGGACAGCAGCCCATTCATCTTGGTACCTGCAGGGCCTCACCCAGAGCTTTGGCATGAGAATCCACGTCCTCGGATTCTCCGCGCCCAGCAGGCCTCGCTGCCCACCCCCGGCCACCCTCACCGGCCCAGGCTTGATGGTGCAGACCCCTGGATGGGCACAATCTGAATGAACTTGGGGCCCATCTTCCTGGCAATTGAGACCTCAGGTAGGTTGGTGGCGGAGGGTACACAGGCTTGGGGACTCACGTTTCCGAAGGCCAGGAGCACCGAATCAAAGTACAGGAGTATTCCAAAGAGGATGAAGAAGATTCCGAAGCCGGTGGTGCCCACACCAATTTCTGCAATGGGCAAGGAGGATGGGGTGGGATGGGCTCTGGGGAGCAGGTTGGGATGCTGGAAGTTTCCCCCACTGCTACTGGACAGTTGCCCTCTGGATGGTGGGGGATGGGGCGGCTCCATTTCCACCCAGGAATCTCAGCTTCCGTGCTCACGGGGAATGATGGGACGGGAAGGGAAAGGAAGGGCAGGCACGGATTTATGTTTCGCCCCTGCACGCTCCTGATCCGTTCCGTGCGCTGTGGCATTCTGTCCTCACCATGGGTCTGTGAGGCGGCTAGTGCTACCCTCGCTGCCTTTTGTATTTTCAGCTTGTTTACAAATGCTACATTGTCTACACGATGGTCAGGGTTGGATCCCTCCGGTCCTGTCCTCCTGCAGCCGGGAGCTGCTGATGCCCAACGCACACCCAGGCAGAAGGGCACCACTGACCACTCACCACCACCAGCCCCGAAAAGCTTAGAACCGCCCGGCTGTCCTGCTCGATTTCTCAAGAGGCCTGACCTCCTGGATTATTCTTCACACTGTGCGCTTCCTCCTCTAACTGCCCCATCCGCAGCTTTCAGGTGGCGACCTCTCATACTTAATTGGAAAAATAGAAGAATGTGCTCAGTGCTTACCTGGGAGTCTGCAACCTGGCCAACACCTGCTGCCCCACTCTGCACCCTCCCTCTTGCCACAGCACCTTGGGTGGCCCACCACACGCCCCTCAGCTTCCTCTAGCGTCAGTCCCGAGACCGGGCAGTTCTGTGCCAGGTTCTGGACCCACGCCGCCAGCACCCCACCCCGGTTTGTAGTGTGTCTTTTTGCTTCGTGTCCCAGGGCAACCTTTGAAGCTGCAGGCGTTTGCTGAGGGCCAGTGAGCACAGCACAGAAGGGCAGGATATTAAGGAGCCCCTTGTTTGGTCAAGGGGCTACATCTCTGACATTTCGATGTATCTTCCAGATCGCTCCCCTCAGGAGGAGTTGTCACAAGAGCAGGATATGAAGTTCCCCTTTTCCCGAAACCCTCTCCAGCCCACAGAATTGTTCATTTTACTTATCTCTGCCACTCTGAGAGTCCACCAGTGACCATTCACTGCGCGGCTTCATTTCTAAATGGAATTAAGCTGTCATTTTCAATGGTGATGAAATACACACACAATTCAGCAACTTCGCCATTTCTACGCACACGCCCAGGGGCGTGAAGTACCTTCACAGTGTTCTACGATGGTCACCGCCAGCCACCTCCCGGGCTTTCCATCTGTCACAACTGAAACTCTGTCCCCATTGAACACTAACTCCCCGTTCTCCAGTCCCTCTCAGCCCCCGGCAACCTCCACTCTATTTTCTAGTTCTGGGAGTCTAACTAGGTGGCCTATATGGGAAGTCATACAGGGTTTTCACGTGACTGGCTTATTTCACTTGGCATAATGGCCTCAAGGTTCATTCAGGATGCAGCCCTCGTCGGAATGTCCCTCTTGTTTAAGGCTGAGTGATAGTTCATTGTATGGATGTAACACAGGTTGTTTATCTACTCATCTGTGGGTGGAACTTGGGTGGTTTCCACCTTTTGGCTACTGGGAATAATGGTGGTGTGACCATGGGTGAACAAAGATCTCTTTGAGACTCTGCCTCCATTTCTTCTGGGGTATATACCCAGCAGTGGGTTTATAGATGATGCTAGATGATAGGGTAGTTCTGTTTTTAAGGTTTTGAGGGAGCGCCACACTGTTTTCCACAGCAGCCGCATTTGACATTCCCAGTACGAGGGTCCAAGGGTTCCAATTTCTATGCATCCTCACCAACACTTGTTATTTTCTGTTTTGTTTTGTTTTGTTTGTCTTCTTTTTGATAACATCCATCTTAATGAGTGGGAGGTGGTATCTCGTTGTGGTTTGGTTGGCATTTTCCTGACGATCGGTGATCATGAACATCTTTTCTTTTTTAAACGAATTAATTTTTGAGAGGCAGAGAGAGAGAGAGAGAGAGAGAGAATGATCAGGAGCGGGGTAGAGTGAGAGGGAGAGAGAATCGCAAGCAGATTCCATGCTGTCAGCGCGGAGCCTGGCACGGGGCTCAAACTCACCAACTGTGAGATCATGACCTGAGCGGGAATCAAGAGTCAGACGTCTAACCGACCGAGCTGCCCAGGCGCCCTTTGAACATCTTTTCATGTGCTTGTTGGCCGTTTGTAGATCTTCTTTAGAGAAATGTCCATTCAAGTCCTTTGCCCATTTTAACAGGTTGGAGTTGTTGTTGTTGTTGTTGTTGTTGTTGAGTTGTAGGAGTTCTTTATATACGCTAGATATTAACCCCTCATCAGACATATGGTTGGCAAATATTTCTCCCATAGGAGAAATCACTCTGTTGATTGTGTCCTTTGATGCAGGGAAGTTTTCAATCTTGATACACTCCAATTTAACTACTTTTTCCTTTGTTGCCTATATTTTTGGTATTATATCCAAGAAATCATTGTCAATTTCAGTGTCGTGAAGCATTTCTCCTGAGTTTTCTTTAAGGGCTTTATAGTTTTAGCCCTTACTTTGAGTTAAGATAAACTTTGAGTTAATTCTTGCAGATGGTATAAAGTACAGGTTCAACTTCATTCTTTTGCACATGGATGTCCAGTTTGCCCAACATCGTTTGTTGAAAAGACTGTCATTTCCTCACTGAATGGTCTTGTCACCCTTATTGAAAATCACTTGACCTCTGTACCTGGGTTTACTTCTGGGCTCTCTGTTCTATCCCTTTGGTTTATGTGTCCGTTTCTATGCTAGTCCCACACTGTCCTGATCACTGTAGCTTTCTAAAAGTTTTGAAACCAGGAAGTGTGAGACCTCCAATTCTGTTCTTTTTTAAGATTGCTTTCACTCTTTGAGATCCCTGAAGGTTCCATATGCATTTTAGGATGGCTTTTTCTGTTTCCACAAGAAACGCCATTGGGATTTTGATAGAGATCACACTGAATCTGTAGATTGCTTTGGGGAGTATTGACATCTTAACAATATTAAATCCTCCAACCCATAAACAGAAGATGTCTATTTATTTGTGTCTTAAAACTTCCATCAGCAACACTCAGTATTTTTCAGTAAGACTTTTGCCTCCTTGGTTAAATTTGTTCCTAAGTATTTATTCTTTTTAAAAAAAATTCTTAAGTGTTTATTTATTTTTGAAGGAGAGAGAGAGGGAGGGCGGGAGGGAGAGGGGGAGAGAGGGAGAGAGAGAGAGAAACAGAGAGAGAGATAATGTGAGCAGGGAAGGGGCAGAGAGAGAGGGAGACACAGAATCTGAACCAGGCCCCAGGCTCTGAGCCATAAGCACAGAGCCCAACAAGGGTCTTGAACCCATGAACCACGCGATCATGACCTGCGGGAGTTGGATGCTTAACTGACTGAGCCACCTAGGCGCCCTGTAATTGTCTTCTATTTGATGGTATTATAAAGCGAACCGCGTTGCTTCCTTTGAAAAAATTACTGGTGATGTGACACTTCGAGTTTACGCTGTAGTTCTGCGACATACTTTATCTATTTCATATATTTAGAATGCCTTCTTTTCTTTTTATTATAAATTATGTGGTAGATGGGGATATGGCAAGACTGCCTTTCTCAACGACAACATGTGTAACTTTATTTAAAATGGCTTCATTTTTAGGAGCACCTGCCTGGCTCAGGTGGAAGGGCATAGAACTCTTGATCCTGGGGTCATGAGTTTGAGCCCCAAGTTGGGTGTAGAGGTTACTGAAAAAATAAACTTTAAAAAATGGCTTAATTTTTTAGAAATTGAAGGTGGCTTAATTTTTTTAAAGTGTATTTATTTTGAGAGAGAGAGGGCATGCACATGTGCAAGTGGGGGAGGGGAGAGAAAGAGAGAGAGAGAGACAGAGAGACAGAGAGAGAGAGAGAATTCCAAGCAGGCTCTGTGCTGTCAGCACAGAACCTGATGTGGGGCTCGAACCCACAGACCGTGAAATCATGACTTGAGCCGAAATCAAGAGCTGGATGCTTAACTGGCTGAGCCACCCAGATGTCCCTTAATTTTTTTTTTAAAGAAACATAAAGGTAATTTTTAAAGGGAAAAATTTTACTGGACTTGCTAACTAACATCTTAGAATGGGTCCCTATAATACCTATGAAATTTGCATTACTGCCATACTTTTAGAGATAGTTATAAAATGTTGTTAAAAGTCTGTTATAAAATATTGTTAAGAGTCTGGTTGTTTCGAGGCAGAACTGTAAAAACAAAACAAAAACAAAGTCTTTGAGACTAGACTTATTGGCTACGTTCTGTTTACAAGGGAAAGAAAATCAAACAACGCTATCATCATCAGGTCATTTTTCATAATCTGTTACCATAGTGAACTTAAGAGGAGTAGGGTCAGGTTCAGTATAGAAATAAGGCCAAAGGGGCGCCTGGGTGGCGCAGTCGGTTAAGCGTCCGACTTCAGCCAGGTCACGATCTCACGGTCCGTGAGTTCGAGCCCCGCGTCGGGCTCTGGGCTGATGGCTCGGACCCTGGAGCCTGTTTCCGATTCTGTGTCTCCCTCTCTCTCTGCCCCTCCCCCGTTCATGCTCTGTCTCTGTCTGTCTCATAAATAAATAAAAACGTTGAAAAACAAATTTAAAAAAAAAAAAAAAAAGAAATAAGGCCAAAGGACTTCTTTAAAAGAATCATTAAACATAGAGGTAAGAGGAGGGATGTCTGGCTGGCTCCGTGAGTAGAGCATGTGACTCTTGATCTCGGGGTTGTGAGTTTGAGCCCCATGTTGGGGGCAGAGATTACTTTAAAATACAAACGAGACCAAAACCTCATTTAACTCACGGTACAGAAAAAAATGCCAGTCTCATTGGGTCTCCCATTTGGCAGAGCTGGATTTTGTGAGGACCCAAGGCGACATCCTCTCTCTCGACACATCCAGCTGCCCAGAATGCATCTCCTACTAGCGGCCGATTCCTTCCGTTTCTGACAAACCTCGGTGACGTATAGGCACTTGTCTCCTACCATTAAAATGTCATTGATTCCAATTCTGATACACCCTTCCCTTCCATCTCCTTTAGTAGATGTTTTTGTATAGAAATGGTGTGAATATCTTATTGGGTTTTCATTTTGTTGTGTTAAAATATCCGTATGTCCATCCTGCAAACACTTAAGAAGACCCTCTCACTCACTTTGCAGACACAGCATAAGTTTCTTGAATTCATACTATGTTCTCCCTGCTCCTGCAATGATGATTTACTAGCCTGGAGAGTTATCACTTTTCCAACTTGTTCCATGTCTTTCCTCAAGAGCTGGTACAGTTCCAGAATTTTCCTGCACTGGGGGCAGCCTTCCTTAAGGGCCATGCTTACTGCTTCCGGCGCCCAGTGGGGAAACTGCACTGTGGACACAAAACCTCACTGAAAAGGGTCAGAAACTCTGTTTCTCATACATAAACCTCAGACCTTTCTTTGCCTCTCGCTCCCAGGAGCTTAGCGATTTCAGTTGCTACCAACCGGGGGCTGCTCTTGAAGTTCTCCTTGGGGCAGCAGGCGAGGTGGCCGAGGGGGCGGGAGATGGGGCATGTCACCAGGAGTG